AAATACTTATTATACTAAAATGTTGAGTAACAATACGATTATTGTAGGTAGTTCCCATTATGAGTCATTATTAATTACGACGAATTTGGTATCATTGAAATTATAACTCATCGGTTAAGTTTTAGTAGTACTATAATTAAGCCAAAAACAAATGAAGACCACGAAGCATGTGGTCATGTTTAGAAAGAGATTTCTTCCTGAAACTCATGTGAAAAAGAGCAACGTAAAAAACCACTCATAACCTACTAACATTATTAGAAAAGAAATATGAATAGAAAAGCAACATATACAAAATATACAAAAATCTTATTTAAAATGGATTTAATGGACTTTTGTTTAGGAATTAATTTAAGGTAAGGAAACGGCTGTAAATAATCGAAAAAATTAAATATCTTACAGTAATAACGGATTCCAAGAGAGGACATACGATTATATATGAAATAGAACAAATAAATTAGCTATAAAAACATTTTTTTTTTTGTTAGTTTGTACTTGAATAACCGCAAACAGAAATGAGTACCTTCTATGTTGATGAAAATAATATGAAACGTGATAAACTCGAATCAAACTCGAACAATCCGCAGATAAATGATCATTTACTAGTAATGATACCAATCTAGTTTATAAGCGATCCGACATATGACTAAATGTAAGTAATAAGTTTAGTGAGTTAAAATTGTCTATACCTACTATTAAGACGGTGCATGGAATAAGGCTGGAAAAATTTAACCCTAGAATTGTAGAATAATTATGTTTCTACTAGAAATATTGTTCCAATATAAAAGAAAGTTTTTGTTAGAACATATATGCATTTTCATTTGTATTAAACTTATGTAATTTTCATTTGTTTAGTACAAAAGTACTTTTTTCATTGATATTTATTTTATGTGTCGTAATGCTAATTTCTTATAAATTATATTACAGAGATCGTTTTAAATCTTTTCGGTATATCTCCAGTTGTATATAAAATCTATTCTTCACGCGTGTGGTGTTAATAGAGAGAACAGTGTTGTTGTCTACGGATCTTGACCTATATGAACACCTGCCGACTAATTTGAACCTATGTGATTGATCGAAGAGCTTTATTATCACACCATAAGTACATACACATACATACACACACGCAAACACACACATACATATATGTACATAATGAAAAATCAAAACACAACGTTTCTACACTTTCTTACATATCTTTATATATATAATTCTTCTGTGAGTGTGTAAATTTGACAACTAACTAATATGTAAATCATTCTGTCGCACTACAAAACACGGAGATTTATGGCTTCAATAGGTAAACTCCAAAAATAGAAATAAAAAAACGTAACAGATATTTCTTGATTACTATAGGGCGATACGAAGTTCGCCGGGTCTTCTAGTATAAATATAAAAAGGAAGATATCTATTTACTTCCAATATCCCATCGTGAATCATAAAACCTGGCGTCCGGATTAAATACGATACTATACATGATTGGCGACGAACAGCTGTGTCCGGCTAAAAATTAGCATCGGTCTTTGTATCCGTATGAAATTATAGACGTGGTCGGGCGACTATAATAATGGAGAATTGATTGTTAAAAAATATATAATTTTAATTATTAAAGGCAATTTCATCTATGATTCTTAACTTTAAATACATAAACGTAAATTTGGATATGAAATTAATTAAAAATAACGCCATAACTCTTCACGTTCCTCCACGAACCACAACTAATTATATATTTTGAAACGTTTATAAAAGAAACAGCTATTTTATTTTTTGTGTGCGACACGCGGACAGATCGAATTATATTAACATATCTAATTTGACTCTCGGTATATCCACGTGCTGTACAAACCCATGAACCTCGTTCAAGTGTCGACGAAACGAATTGAGAAAGCTCACTTATAGAGGGGAGTTGATTGGATTCCAACCCCAGCAACAAAACACGAAATAAAGGTCCACGGTCGCGACTCAAATATATAAAACTATGTAATGATTTCTCAAAACTTATATTTGTTTTTATTCAATTATAATTCTCAGACCTTTTTATTTCCGATTTTGATCTGATTCATTTATGTTTTAATTCACGTAAGTTATTAACAAAAGGTATTAAGCTAATTATGAAGTTACAACTACTAGCTACCTAAAAATAAGTAGCTACTTAAAAATAAGATTTTAAGAGAGATTTATTGAAATGCATAATCCAAATCTAAGTTTAACCTTATTTGTCGGCTCACTTTCCATCTGTCCTGCAACACGACTCACAAGTACGAATTAAAATAGACTCGATTAATCACGAAATTACATTTTATGTCAAATAATCGTTTTAAAACCTATTCAAATCGCGTTCATTATAAACAATAAAGATGATATTTATTATGAAACTTAACACTTACGTACCTATACGTAATCATACGCGTAATCAATTTTAAGACATATTTATTCTTAAAGACATACTCGGTATGTATCAATGAACTCTGCCGCATATCCTCGCTACGAGTTAACAGAATAAAACTAATAAGACAAACATTACACAGCTGGATGTATCCAATAATAGCCGATACCCCATGCCGGTGATTTATGACCTAGATATAGTTAGCGTTCGCCAAATAGGGGACCAAACCTCACATTAAGCAACTTGAACCAGTTCGTGTACATCATTTGATATTATGTAACCTACCTTTAGTATGATTGAATGGGAGCCAAAGGTCAACGACATTTTATATATAACAAGATCTAATACTTTCGCGAGTATTCATTTAAATGAAACTTAAATAATATATATTGGGATTACTACTCTTATGACGTCGATGACGTAATGTCTTCTGCTCGTGATCACGATTGCTTAAAAGTAACCGTAATGTCCGGAGTATATAGTTTTGACTATAATAAAATACGCATAGTACCTATAATCTGAAAAATATTAGTTTCATTTGAACATTTGATATATTTTTTCGACCTACCTCTAGTTTGATTTAAAATTTTATTTCACGAATTCGCTTTACATTTTACACAACAGTCAGCATTTTCGAGGGGACACATCTCAATTTTTTTATGAAATGAATATTTCATTTAAAGTAATATCATTTCTGCTTTACCCTGTTTTAATTTTGCATAGATTTTTAAATTAATATGAAGCAATATTAAATCATTATGTTTTATGTTGTTTATGTATTAGTGAAAAGATATATATGTATAATATAACTAATTTCCATCTGTTTGCTGGTGGAATTAAAAAATTTTGATTGGCAGTTTTTGTTCAAAATATAAAAATTATTACATATTGACTGTGTTACTCTCATTATATTTTTTTAACAAAAACCACATATTTTTCTACTATGACTATTTCTATATAATTAAGTAATTATGAAAATAAGTTACATCATTCCTGATTTTTGTGTTAAATGTTACAGTTGCAAACTCCGGGACAACTAAAATACGAATGCTAGTATGAAGAAAATAATGGATTTGTACAAAAACTGATGCTACTCTTATCTTGTAAAATTACCAATCTTTAATTCATGAATATATTTCACTCAATTTTAAGTGGAAACTTTACTAAGACCTCAATATACAAGATCATATCTCAAAATAAGAGCATTAACCCGGCGTTTTGTATGCAGCAAAGCATTTTAAGAAATTTTTTGGGATATCTACATTTAACATAAAACCATTACAATTTGTAAGTTCATAATATTTTAAATTTAGAATTTTTTTTAATATTATCATTAATTATTTAGACATATCCAAAACGTTTAAAATGCTATAAGTTTTTAATTTTTATACATACATATATGGGAATAAAGTTAAATCCTCTATTTCTATTTCAAATCTTTGATGTAAGTACAATGGCCTAAATATCCAACAATAAATTAAAATATACTTTAGAAATGAAGAATTTCATCATCTGTATCTCCAAAACTTCTATAATGGAAGCTGACTAATTTAATTTTGTACAGCATGACTCTTAGTAGAAATACTATTGGCCTATTTATAATTAATTGGAATTTACACCCATCAGAAGTTTTAATAAACTTAAAGTGATATATAGTTTTTACGTAACAATGGTTAATAATAAATATAAATTCTTATTACTATTGATATAGATAGTAATTCTAACAAGTGCTTCCATTATATTTAAATTTGTTTGATTGAGTACATCTTGTCCCGTTACGATAGTTTCAGTACTTCAGATATGAAATAATGAAATTATCGCACTCATATTATTTCCTCTTTTCAAAAACGAACTCAATATATTTTTTAATGAATATTTAACAAAAAAAACTTTAATCCTGTTTGATTCTGTTTTTCTACTTTAAGAGAGGAAATAATATTTTGTTTTAATATAGTTCATATTTTGTATTTATGTCTAAATATGTACCTCAAAAAACTGAGCTAGTAAATCTTCGTTCCAAATCCCGTGCCGCAGGGGTAAAACTAGGCACAACCACTGAACTCAAATTATACGCAAAAAAAAAACACAAATACACTAAAGTTCACTGAATGACTAAGATATACATATGAAACAAATAATATGAATAGCTAATTAAGTCATAAAAAGTGGGATAATCTATTTAAAAAATGAATTAAGTATAGCATCTTCTACATATGTCCTGACACACGAATAACACAACCACAACCCAAAAATTCTCTACAAAACTGAAAAAATAATAGGCGGCACCACTGTAGCTCTTTGGCGCAAGCGCTGTCATCCTCTAACTTCTAACTTTTTTATAGACCTTAAATTCTAGCCTTTTCATCAAAATTTTTTATGTCAATAAAAATTTTGCAAGCTCTTTTAATTTTATAAAATTTTATGTTTCATTAATTATATTTTATTAAAAAAATTGTATAATTATCTGATGAAATGGAAAACCAAAAGTTCAAAATTGATAAGGCTTAACCTATAAGTATTCAATGACACTTATAGAGTGACAGCTGCAAGTATTTGTAAATACAATTTTAATCAATTGTTCTTATTTACCTAATAAACTTTTTATAAAGACGGGACAATGTTAGATAATGTTAAGCAAGTGATATTAGTTTTATCTGGGAAAGGTGGTGTTGGTAAATCGACTGTAAGCACACAATTAGCGCTAACTCTTAAAGAAAAGGGGTTGAAGGTTAGAAAACTTACTAGATGTTTTACTAAATTGTCCAAATCGTACATTTGTTACCATCTAACTCCATTTACAGGTTGGATTACTTGACATCGATTTATGCGGACCAAGTGTTCCGTATCTATTAAATTTGGAGGATCAAAACATACACCAAGGGCCTGATGGATGGGTTCCAGTATATTTAGATAGTGAACAGAGACTCGGCGTCATGTCCATAGGCTTCTTACTAAACTCCCGCAATGACGCCGTTGTATGGAGAGGTCCAAAGAAAACGTCAATGATTAAACAATTCCTAGAAGATGTGTCCTGGCAGGATTTAGATTTTCTAGTTATTGATACTCCTCCAGGTAATTACACTTAATTTATTTAACCCTCCAAATATTCCGCGTTCAACTCCCTTACTATATATATTTTATTACATGTAGGCACTTCAGATGAGCACATAACAGTCATGGAAAATCTTCGACAAGTGCCCCACTGCTCCGCCATCATAGTCACAACACCACAAGAAGTGGCTATAGAGGATGTTCGCAAGGAAATAACCTTCTGTAGAAAAACTAATATTCCAATTATGGGTATAATTGAGAACATGAGTGGGTAAGAGCAAGAATAATTTTCGTAGGACAAAATGTAAGCATTATTTATTTATATATTTACAATAACTGAAATATATGCATATTTTTTAGGTACGTCTGTCCAACATGTACCGAATGCACAAACATATTTTCAAGCGGAGGGGGCAAGTCACTTGCCGACTTAACAAAGATTCAGTTCCTAGGCAGTCTGCCGATAGACCCCAGGGTCGGTAAATTGGCCGGCAAAGGAATCGCTGCTGTTAAAGAGTTACCAGATTCGGCAACCAGTATGGTTTTTAACAACTTAGCTAACCAGTTGAGTGAGTTGACAACAAATGGATCATAGTCATTCCTACCTTATGATAATTGATTACAAATCAAAGTATTTTTTTATAGTTATTGAAAAAACAATCTATATTTAATAATAAGCATAAATGTTATATTTAAACTTTTTTTTTATGGTTTCCTGGTATATTCACAAAACCTATATACAATAGTTTTCAAATTTCTCACATCAGATTGCTGGATGAACTTTTTATTTTCAATGTTTTGAATATTTTTGGAATTTATTGTATGTACTTAAAGGAGTCACAAATGCCATATTTTATTTCATATTTCCTAAAAATACAATTGCTGTTAAAACAATACAATTACAATTTAATTAAATCATTTTACTAAACAGATTATTTCTTTGTTCCAAAGCATATATAAATAAATACTATTATTAAATATCTTAGTTGTCTTAATACTTTGTTAATTAATGGATATAAAGTATGTAACAATGAGAATAAAATAATACAACATCTGATGATCATGAAAATAATTTATCAAGACTCTTCCTTCCACTTATTTTCATTTGTAGGTTAAGAAAAATGTATGTAAATGTTGGAAATAAAAGATCAATATGTTTATTTATCGTTTACTTTATAAATACATTACTAAGACGCCTTGCATCTTTGGACATAATAAGAAATACTGACTTTCATATCAAAATATCTTCTTAAATTTAAACACTATCAATCGTCAGCATTTGTTAAAAATGGAACTATAGTACCTTTTTTTTATTATAAAATTCCAATTTCAAAATATCGTTCTTTTGTACAAATAAATATTCATTACAAATTTTATCATATAATTTCAATTTAATTATATAAATATACCTATAACCTTATAGCGGTTTAAATTCTTATTATTTGTGGAAACATTTAAAGACACTACAAGTCTAAACAGTTCCTAATTATGTCCTTACTTAATAAACATGTAAACATTTAATAAAATATATCTATAATTATATAAAAATATTTGACATTTCATATAAAATTCATTAAAATTATTCTAAACAACATATATCTAACTTTCAATAGATGTTATACCTTCCCTGTAATATATTTTTCATTTATTTGATGGAAATCAAATACAATCTTTGGTTTCTTAGAAAAAACAATGTTTACATTTAATAATATTTCATTTACTAATCAACTCATTTCACTTAAAATAATGAGATACATGCCTAAAGTAACACATACATATTACATATCTATAAATACTAGGTAATATATCATAGAAGTATTAAAAATCGACGAAGTAAACCAAAAATAAAAGTCAATAATTTTGGCCCCAAAACTAAAATATTTAAAAAAATAACAAATGCATAGACAACAACAAAATGACATCAAATAAAGTGCTAAGTCATATAAAACAAATTTCTTCATACTACATTTAAGTTGTAGAACAAAAAAAAAAAAAGTCATATATACTGTGAAGGATTTTAAACCCTAAATAGTTGTCAGTAAGTTTGTAATTCATGTGGTGGTGAGTTCAGGCTGCGAATCGTCTCCAAGCCACATGAACTGCCGCACCTCGTCTTCAGATGACGGACAGCAGTGAGGAGGAGCCTTCTCTAGCAAGCGACGCAGTTCCTGAATATATATTGGTAAAAATATTTACTCACGAATGGCATCATAGACAAAATTTCATATAAGTATGTACATGTAAAATGATTGTTACAGTAATGTAACAAATCCTCTCTTTTTAGGGAATGACTTATATGCCATATATGTATAAGCTTTGATAAATAATATCTATATGCTCATTTGGAAATATACCACTGTTAGGAAGAAACATTTTAATAATACATATCTTAAATTTAAAGACACGTTAGCTAACAGTTTCATATGTGAGTAGAAGAATAAATTAAATGGTCGACGTTAGTTCCATTTCTAATTCAATGGAAAATAAAAAAATGTATTTCATGAGAACATCATAATTCGTCATGGCAATTTCTTACTATTCCATAACCTTAACAATTTTGTATGACATCTATCAGCTTTAGCCATAAACCCTATAACTCCTGGGATTAAATTACCAGCCCTCTACATGTTCCCAAATTTCTATATGCCTACAACTTGTTCTATTGAAGAATATATGTATTTTTTTAGTTCTCGACAGTCTTAGTACAGTTAATTATTGACCTTCTATCATTCTTGATGATCATACCAAACAATCTTTGCGAGTCTTTGTGTGTGAGGAACACGTTCCCACGTTATTCCTTTGTGTGTTCCTACGTTATTCACCTGCATGTTGGCCCTGTTCCTGGCGGCCGCAGCTGTGTGGTCTACTACCGGCGCGGGGTAGTCACGACCTATGATACAGCCCGCAGCCTCTTGAACCTCGATCGGGGCACGCCACGGCTCGTAACTAAAGACGAGTTCATGTTAGTACATAGAGTGTATTTAATTTAACATGCTAATGTGCCATATGTGTATTGTGATACGATATTTTTATAACATTTCCATGTATTTTTTTAAAACTGTACAAAATAATATACACTCTACGTGTCTTACATTACAAGACTGATTTAATCAAAATCACTAACACCGCAAGGAAAATATCTCATTATAAATTACTAGTAAACCTGGCGAACTCCGTTTCGCCACCAGAAGGCTTTTATATAACATTTCGTTTGGTGATTAAAAGATGAAGAATTTTTTGTTTTATATTTGAAAAGGAAAATTTTTATTTCACTTCACAACAGTAATGAATTCATTTCGATTACAAAAATGAAGTGTTATTTAGTTGAACTTCTTTAAGTAAATGAAAGTGAATCCAAAGTAGATGCCGAATCGAAGCGTTATACGTGTCCGCAAATTATACGTTTCATTGAAGTGCTCCTTTGTAAACCACATTTTTTGTTTTTTGGTCTAACTTTAACACAAATAAAGCGTATGGTTTCCAAACTCGTGAACATACAAAATATAACTGCCCATGTGAAAAACAATGATTTTCTAAATTTATCCCGCAAATACTAAATTGTTTTAAGAGTTCAAACTACAAACACATTACCTAAATATTTTTATTTTTATATAGTAGATTTCTTACAAATATCTAATTGTCATCCATACGTCATTACATATCTGTCATTATACGTCAATTGCATAGCTGTCAATTGTGTTATTCCACGTTTTATAGTGACTGACGTTTCATGTCAAGTCCCACGGGAATGCTGTCGAACGGGATAAAAAGTATCCTATTGCAATTTCCTGGTTCTAAACTACCTCCCTGCCAATTTTCAGCTGAATCGGTTCAGCCGTTCTTGGGTTATAAGTGAAGTCACTAACACGACTTTCTTTTATATATATAGAAGATGTGTGTGATTACTGTGTCATGTGTCAGTATAATTACTGTATGACTATTAATAAGGTATTCTCAAGTTTATAATGTATTCTATATTTTTTGTACGTAATCCTCACATGTATTCGCCGGGCATCCGAGCCAGTTCCGGTACGTATCTCCGTACATAATGTCCACTGGGCTCCAACCTCCTTCCCAGTCTGACGGGACACGCGCACTCACCGGAGTCTAATAAGGCCTCGAATGCACTGGATGATACCCACATCCAATTACCGGCGCACACCGACCTGGGAATGGAGACTTATAACATGTCATGATCTTTTAGGCTAGATTCTCAGCGTACGGAGAAGTATTTCAGCAGTTTTGAAAAAAGTATATTGAATCAGAATGCGGCCGTCAGCCTCTAACAAGATTCGACCTAACAATTTTTGATAAAACATTTCTTGAACGTTAAAACCAGAAGATTCTATAATCAGAACTTTTATCACTATGGTCCAATATATTTACGAAAATTAATGCCCGATTAATTCGGGTCCCAAGTCCCAGGCACTGTTGAAACTCCTCTCCCTGCAACGCGATGGACCCAGCACCCGAACGGTTAATCCATTGAATGCTGAGGTTTAGGTTTAGGTTTCGTCTCATCCAAAATCGCTTATGAGGTTTTAAGTATTAAGATGACGTCACAGCTATATCTAACGCCTCACCAATCAGCATCCAGTAGATACTTGAGGAAGTGCTGTAGTCCGTGTTCCCAGGACAGCCACAGGGTTCCGCGGGTAAGGAATGAAGCCACGGTGTTCCGTACAACGTGATGCAGCCAGCCTTCTGTACGCAGCTGACGCATGGCCGCGTCCACGAATGGAAACCCCGTACGACCCTCCTTCCATCTGTCAAAGATTTATTTAAATTAAACTAATATGTTCAGATTATACTACACATCTCGTCTGGCCTTGATCACGGTTGCTGTAAAGTAAGATACGTCGGGAGTATGTAGTTTATAGTCAAAAATAAAAAATCGCGTAGTAAAACCGAAAATATTAGTTTTATCTAAAAATTACTCGTACCAGATAATATACTATATCTCAGTTTATTAAGTACTCACCTCTGTAACTCATCATTTTCCGGTTCCTTCCACGGTATATCCAAGCAGATAGGATTCCCCGACATTTGAGCGTAGTTGGGATTGTTGACGCTCATCGTGTAGAAATACTCCCGCCATATTAACTGACCTGATAAAAACATACCACTTTTGTTTTATTTAGATACTAGCTTTTGCCCGCGTCTTTGTCCGCGTTAGTTTCATAATTAGAAATGTATGGCTGACCAAGTGAACTGTTTCGATTTCGAGGCTCAAATAAACAGATTTTGGGTTTTATTAGCATTTTTTTTGGTCGAGCGAATTTAAAAGTATCCTGATTCCAACCTACCGTCCCACAAATTTCCAGCCAAATCCGTACAGCCGTTCTTGAGTTATAAATAGTGTAACTAAAACGACTTTCTTTTATATAGAGATAGTCCAATAAGTAGCAATAAAATATGATAGGCCGTTATTTACGGAACCATAACTACATATATGGTTCCCTATGATTCATCATACTAATGATGTACGAAATAATATATTGTTTTTCACCAGTGATAAACTGAGTGGATGCGAGACGTCCCTGATGAACCTGCTGGAACAGGTCCTGGAGACTCCAATAGAAACTGAAGAGGAAAACATTCAGAATTACTTGAAAAACTATAGCAAAATAGTTTTTTTTTAGGAACCATATTTTTATTTGAAGAACAATCTTATTTTCATGCCTGAAGGAATATCTGATGATAAATATATAAAAATATGATCACAGACAATCCATATTTTGTACAGTTCAATAAATTATATATTTTTTACATACCGTCGAACGGATAGACATCCGAAGCGCAAGGCTGGACTCAGAGATATCGGCGGTCCAAGGAGATCCGGGTTACCGTGAGTCGGCAAGTAAGAACCCCTGGGGATGTGACATTATATTATTAAACAAAAGCCAGCTTCATTTAAAAGAAAACGTTGATTTTTCACTCAAATCTAAACCGTAAGCGAATAACTATAAAGTTCAATTTCACCTGCAGAATGTTTCATACTCCACAGCCAATCTCTCCTGCATCTGTTTCAAGGCCGCCGTCTCTCCCCCCACCCAGCGGATCATACGAATATCTTCGTTTTCCAGAAACACGCCCAGATCTTCTGGTTTTGGGGCCTGGTTGAGAAAACTTCATAAATGTTTATTGCTCTATATTTATGAATAGGAATAAAGAAATTAATGAATATTTTTCTAGAATACAAATAAATACTAAGATTGAAGATTAAAAAATATATAAACAGGGAAAAATGAATTCATTATACTATTAATTATTGTTGCCTAAAGTCATACCTTATCAAAGACAGTGAATTCCCTGTAAAAGCTCTCAGGCAGTGAACCGAAGTTAACGCCGTTCAAATCAACGTCGTCTACAGGTCGAGGTGGATTGCCGATGATTTCAACTGTATGCTGGAAAAATACACGTTTATGAACAAATATATTCATTGATGGGGCAGACTATACATTTTTTTGTTAAATTTAAGACCAGTAAATGAAAATTGTTTGGTAAAATCTGTAATTTACTGGAAGTCTTAGGAAGACTTTTTGGACCAGCAAGGACCTTTCGTCTGCATATTCTTTTGCCTTTTTGGACCAGCAAAGACCTATTATCAGAATATTTTAAAGCTTTCTGTTATTTTATACGTACCAGGAACATCTGGTATGTTAGCGGCGGTATTCCTCCATTGGCCTTGATGACGGTGTCCGGGTTCCACAGCGTGTGTGCGACATGCTCTCTGCACGACACGCCGATGTCTCGGCACAGAGCACGCACGCTCGCGTCACGCGGACGCCATATCGGCTCACAGTCCTGCTCGAAGCATAGCGTACGAATACCTGGAGAAAATATATTAAGTTTTCTTGCAGTATTCGTGTGAAAAGATTATACTGTTAAAACTTAAATTTCTTTGAGACTTTTTGCAATAATTTAAACTAAATGTCTGCTCTTAATATTTTTGTGAAGGGATTTAATATATAGAGTCGGATATAAACATGAATGTGTTTGATGACTTGTGATATGAAGACGTATTTGGCTTTAAATATAAATTGACATTTGAAAGAAAAACAAAAAAATTACTGACATTTTAATTGAAATATAAAATTGGTATGTACTGTATGCCTTTAAACTTTAAAGCTTTCATCATCAAATTATAACAATGGAGATATCATATCTCCGTAAAACTTTTAAAACGACAATGTATGAAGATAAACTTCTGAGGGGCAATTAATTATTATCTTACCAAATTCCTCCCATAGCCTCCTAAATATTAAGTCAGGTCTCCCTTTAATCATGAGCAGTTTCCCGCCGTACTTCCTGAACTGTTGGTCCAAATCATTCAGCGCTTCCAACAAGTATCGCATACGATTGTAGCCCACCATCTTTGTACCTGATAAATGTTTCAACATATCTGAATTTTCCGAATGAATATACCATACAAAAAACATAACATTTTGGAAAAATGTTTCGAATGGAAGTATTATTTTTCTGATTATACTAAGCGACTTTTCTTTTGAAAAAAACTCGTCTGTCCGTGATCACGGTTGCTGAAAAGTAGCCGAAACGTCGGAAATGCAGTTTTATATAAAAATAAAGTCGCGTAGTATAATCCAAAAAATATAAGATTCATTTAAATGAATAGAATTCGCCAAAATCTTAGATCTCATTATTTGGAAAACTGACTGCCATTTGAAGAAAAAATTTAAGGCTTTACGTATACAACATTCAGGTATAAACTCATTAGTGCTAATCTAAGTAGTGAATACATTGATAGCGACAAATATAGTATCTCAATTGTTAATTATGTCATTATAATAATATAAGGAAAAAACTATGTTGTATTGAATCAAACTTACCAGCAGTTTCTCCATCAAATATGAATATGGGAAAGAACGGAGCGCTTGGATCTTCAAGAGCGCTGTGGAGGGATGGGTTGTCATGGAGGCGAAGACCATGACGGAACCAAATGACATTACCACCGAGCATACTGGTTGAGGAGATCACTAGAATATTGTATGACAATTATACTTAAACTATTACATAGATTTTTTTTTTTATGTGAAGCTTGGCAAACGAGCAGACGGCCCACTTGGTGGAAGGTGGTTACCGTCGCCCATGGACATCCACAACATCTTTGTTGCGGAAGCGTTGCCAACCTTGTTTTTTAGGGATAGGGAGGGGTGGGAATAAGGAAATGTTAGAAAGGGTAGGAATAGGGAAAGGGCATCCGGCTCTCTCACTCATCAGACGAAACGCAGCCATAAAGACTACTTCACGCCGATCTTCTGTGAGAGGGTGGTACTTCCCCGGTCGAGCCAGCCCATGTTCGAGCTGTAGTAATTGACTACAACTAGGCTCTACCACCTTCAAAATGTTATATTAATATGCACTCGTTTTTAATAAGAATATTATGCTACATTGAATATATTAAATGTTTAGATAATTTAGAGCTTAATTATGTTATTATTAAATAAAGAAACAGATCAAGACAATCTGCTATACGATAGTCAACTATTATAGGTTTAATATAATTTGAAGGCCTAGAATATTAAGTAGAACTAAATTAAAACATAGCTTTTTGTATATGTATTGAGTAGGTACTTATAATAAATTTACTCCTTATTTAATCAGCTTATAAGTAAACAATGGAAACGAACGAAATAGAGACAGTTCATAGGATATTGAGATCTAGGCTATTAATAAATAAACTAGATAATGGAATGCGTCCCATTTCATACTGTCAGAAACAGGCATGTCAGGAACATATATTTCATTTATAATACAATATCGGTAAATGACAGTTGTTTTACTGCATTTCATGTTATAAGACTAGTGACTAGAGTGGTAATAAAATAATCATATAGATATGCATACATACGTTAAAATTTAAAGAATGTAATGTTCTTTAAAATATGAATATAAAATTGACGGAAATTTACGAAAAAATATCGTGTGCAAATTCTTTTTATCTAGTCATGTCAACAAAAAAGCGGTTTAAATTATTATAAAATAAACAAGAATTCTTTTTAACGATTGAAACATAGTATCACCTTACAATGTTTCGTTTTGTAATACGATGATACGAGTAGGTTAAACGTTTTTTCCTTACAGCCGATAAATAATTTTTAATACCTTTGTGAATGTTGCAAAATATTGTTGACCTTTTTGGTAGAATAGCACTTTTTTGAAGAGAAAAAAAGTATTAAGCCGGTTTTCGTGTCTATGTTATTGCCCATTGGTGGAGCAATCGATATTTAAACTGTTTCTAAAGGTGATATTCCACATGGAATGAAGCCTAAAAATTGCTACCCGCATTAAACTATATTTTTGAAGATTAAGCATTCTATTACTAGCTGGGGGCAGATAAAAGGATTTTCCGATGCAAGGACAACTTATGACTAGTTACCTATAATGGAAGGAAGTCTTAAATTACAGCACACGATGCTGATTGGCTTTAGCGCTATTTCAGAATACCCTATGTGTGATATGCATCGTATAAAATCTCGCACCATTAAAGAACCCTTTATAAAACTGTTGATATTGAAGAATTATACAATTTTAATCACAGTTAATTAAGAATATGAAATTTAATTCAAGTTAATTATACTTATATTTTTACTAAATAATTCATAAAAAAAAAAAATATTTTTGTCTATTTGTGTACTACGAATTATGTCTCGATTTTAAACTGTTTTAATAAGAATTTGTGTAAAAATAATCTCACCAAAAACATGCCTGTTAAAAAGGGGGCCAAGTTCCAATCGGCTAATTGTTTGCCTAAAAAAGGGGTGAAATCCAATCTAATGCCAAGTTTAGATGCACTTTGAAATCGATCATAATCATCTTCATCAACAGCATGATCCACTGGTAAACATTTGCCATTCCCAAGACTCGCCACCACACCCAGTCCTCTGCCTTCCACATCCAGCCACTACCCGCCACCTTATTCACGTCAACGGTCCATCTGGCCGAAATTCACTTTACCATACACCCAACTTAACATATGGTATAGTTGTGAAAATACGTAGGTGCTTGGTTAAAAATATCTAAAATTATAATACTTCTCAATTTGAACTTGGCAGGTTTTTGTGCTGTACGTAACACTTAATTAATTGTATCATTAATTTATTATTTAGTTATATAATTATTTATATTTATATAATTTAAATATTATATAATTTAAATAATTAAATTAACCTAGCACTACCGTGCGCTTAGATATGATCTTCATGTCTTATTGATAGATTATTTTTTTATAAAAATAACGTCTTATATAATAAAACAGACGTTTTATTATAACCTTATTTACTCCTATAAATGTAGTTTCATTATTTACTACTAAAGTTTTTTTTTTTTTTTAATAAAAACCTTCGTCGTCATAATACAAATAGTTCTAAATCGTTTTAAATAAACAGATTATGAATTCAATTAATCTTTTTAGTCTGTATAGTCTATATAATCTGGATTGATCCGGTATATAGTCCGCAAAAACATAGAATTAGAACAATATTTTAGAGCGCGGTAGTTAGCAAGCAAATGTTTGAGTTTAGAATATCAACAATCTGCAACCACACACAACCAGCATTCAATGACCTAACTAGCAAAAGAAACCATACTCAGAACAGCTTATCAACAGGTCTTAATATATTGGTAATATAGTTTTACAACCTAGTTACCCAAGCTTAGAGAAATACAATAACATTGAACAATCAATGTGCCGATAAATTATGTTATATGTATAAGAAAACGCCACGTGATTGCAAATATAAGTACTGTTAATGGAAAAATCAATAGTACATGCATTGAACATGGTGACTACAGTTTATGAAGCCAACGCAACACATAAAATAGTTTTTTGATAACTTAAAATTGATTAGTCTAAAATAATTTTTACTTTTTTTATGTCAAACTAGACGATAATAAATTGATTATTTCAAGTTCAATGGCAAAATAGGAATGGCATACAAATGTCACACACATATAGCGACAATACACACATTGAAAAATCTTCACGGACTATGCATGTGTGTGTGAACATCATAGTGGTGTGGGTGAACAAAATTTAATGCATTTCTTATACAAGGGCCTGCCCAGGCCGAGCCTCACACATCCCTTCCGGCCCCACCAAGGTCGGTTGGACGGCTCGTAAAAAGAGTTTCCACTACGTCAACAAAAAAAAAAATCTAGACAAAACGAAACTTTAGAACCGCGAACAATAAAACAGAAATTAAGTCATCTTTGTTACAAGTTGGAAACAAATATGAAATTTCATGAAGCCATATAATTAACGCTCGACTCGTGTAGTACATCGACAAAAGGTTCTAGAAAACTCATAAAATTGCGAAGTTTAATTACTTATAAAAGAGAGATTTGAAAACAATCCAATGACGATGTCCTTTAAGCAATTTAGATAAACAGTAAAAAATTGATAATTTTAAATTTAGTAAAACTCCTATTTTAATATATGTACATTTTTACTAATAAAATTCGTACTCGTCTTAATACCGTCATCGATTTAAATTACCATTTTTTCATTGTCAATATAGTGGAACTAATTTCATAACAATAATATAAGATTAAATTAACATCTCGTGTGTAGTGACGGTTGCTGTCAAGAAATAGATACGTAGGGTAAAAATGGAAGAGCATAATTAATCTCGTAATATAGCCAAAAACACTATAAAAATATGACAAAGAACTGTATACAACTGTATTTTACTTCGATGCTTATACCAAGTTTGGATTGTCCATTTAAAATTTAAATAAAGAACGTTAGAGATTTTATTAATATTAACAAAGGTCATCAATGAAAAATGGGAGACGCTTCGTATGTAGTGTGATTTGTACTAACAGTTAAATTTGCGAAGTTCTACAACAAAAATATGGTCAACTAAATACTTAAGAAAGCTGAAATGTTACATTTTGTTTAAAATATACCTATACAATTAATTTAAAAAAAACAATACTGACGTCATATCTCTCAATATGTATTTTATTTATACGTATATTTTTTATACATATAACCGATATTGTTCGAATTTTAAAATATCTTAAATCAGCTTCTGGTATATTGTAATCATCGAACATAAAAATGTTAAAAATAATTATAATATAAATACTCTTTAGAAATAATTAAAATAAAAGCACAATAACGGACTCCGAACACATATATTTTCTACACTTTTAAATTTCATAACTGTATTGAGTTTTAAATAAGATTCAAATTTGGTTGAATACGGTATATATGAATTTATATGATGACACTTACCAAACAATATGAAATTTGAACCGTATTTCCTATACAATAGAATTCAAAGTCTATTGAAAAGTGCAGTAAGGTTTATATGCATTTATTCTATTGCTAGTGATGTGCAAATTGTTTATTTGCTTATTTAAAAATTGTCTCGAACAGGAAACCATTATTGTATAGTGTTGGATATGTTATATAGTGTTATATATTAATCTTGTTTGTCCAAAAAAAATTATTTAAATAGTTTAAGGCGTAAATATACAACTAATAACTATCAATAAGTGGAAAATCATTTTTTTTCTCTTTTGTAATGCATCAAGTTCAATTTAACCAACCTAATTTCTTTAAAACTACGTTATTACTTATTTTATCCGTAATGGGATGACGTGTTTAATAAAAAAAAATACTCATATTTCTACTAAAAAATTTATGTGCATCAAAAATTAGCTTTCTAAGTAAAAAATAATATACTGAACTGATATGTCCTATATTTTAAAAAAAGTTAAATATTAACAAATAGTATATACCTACGTATAAAATTATTATTTCTTATGAGAATGGATGGATATAAATTATGTAAGGTACACGTTTCCGAGATTTCTAATGAGATTGATATACGAAAATCCTTACCTAAACAACTTAGAGCGCTTATTTCGGACGATACAGACGAAAAAGTAATTATAAGTTATTAATATAAATAAACATACATTTTTAAATATCACAATTGCTTGTTTAAAGATATTAAAGTCATTAAAACTAAAGCTTCTTCTGAATTTGTATAGTTTTCGTATTTATTGTGAAGTATTAATATTTTTAAACGACGAATTTTATGACACATAATTTGATTTTCTATTACTATGATCCATTCCAGTTGATCTTACCCCATTACAAAACCAATCTCCTGTTTTCTACGCAATTTTGAAGACTATTTTATGAATCACTCAGAGAACCTATAATATGTTCTAGAGTAGACATTATTTCTTCATTTTAACTTTTCAGGTAAAGTAATTAACGGTATATGACGATAATAATAAAGAAAAAATATAAAAAACTTAAAAAGATGTTTGATAAAATATTATCATAATATGCTTGACTATAAGCAAAAGTTATAAAATCAGGGTCAATAATATTCCGCTTTATTAATAAATAAACTTACCTTGACTTCAATATAGCTGCTCTAACCTGTATTCTTATGATTATAATACAATTATGTTAAATTTACTAGGCACTAAACATCTGAACCATTTATAGGAAAGCAAAAATTTGCAAGAGATGAAATCTTGACTGAACTCCCAGCCACTATAAAGTCTAAACTGAAATCTGAATAACTTAATAGGTACCTATAGTAAAACGTCAAACTCAGAACAACAACAACGCAAAGAAATAAGTCAGTGTCATAAGTACTGTCATCCGCTGATAAGTTGAACACTGTAGTGCGAATGAAAACATATTAAAAAAAGACAATATGATTATTACATTGTTACATTAATATTTAATAGGTACTTTTAAAATATTATGAAGTATATGAAGAATAAGTTATTTATGTTAATAATTACACAAAAATTTTAATGTTTTTTTTTCCTCAAAATTATATATTTATTTATTGAAATTTAATTGCAGCTACAATTTTTAAACTTATGAATATTTATATATCATTAAAAAATTCAATTTTCTATGTTTTGGCGAATTTATTCATTTGATGCTATTGAAAATTGATCACAGATTATATTACATAAGTACTGAAACTGATAACCGCAGCTATTGGTCAAATTTATAATCTATGTGCAGTGGTTATTACTGAAGAAAGAAATCTGCGATTAAGAAATAGCTAGTTTTTAGTGATTGTTCAATCAATACATAACAGAAAATATGATGAATAGTATCAGGATAGTACGCAGGCTTCCTATTTGCCAATGGAGATCATTCTCTAGATGGTATTAACATTTCATTTTTTATAGGTTATGTTAATTCTGAACCAATTACTTACATTCAATATATTTACAATGCTTAGAAATTTATTTCAGATTGAAAGATTTTTTTTTTCTCATTTTTATTATCATCGACTATCTTTTTAATGAGTAATAATATATTGTTATGAATATAATACTTTTTAATATAAGACTATCATTTTTGTTTCCAGCACAGTTTTGAACCAAGAGGTAGCAGAAGCGGTAACTCCACTCACAGTACCTCCTCCTGAAGGAGTTGACAAGCCAATTTCACCGAAAATCGAGAAAATTGTGTCTGAAATAACAAATTTAAACCTACTTGAGGTGTCAGAACTCAGTCAAGTGTTGAAACGAAGGTTAAACCTCCCTGATGCTCCTGTCATGCCAGTTGGCGGGTTCGCTATGGCAGCACCAGCAGCACAAGAAGAAGAGGAAGCCGCACCTAAGGCCGTCAAAACCAGCTACACTGTATGATATTAACTTTCCAATATAATATAACTTTACTTTCTTTGATACATAATCATTATCATTACTGGCTTATCAGAGCTCACTGCTGAGCATAGAATCTTCTCACATAGAGAAGGTTTGAGCTATAATCACCATGCTTGCTCAAGATTGGTTAATGATTTTAAACTTATAATTATGAGGTTATAAGTCCAGGTTTCCTCAATATGTTTTCCTTGACCATCAGTCATATGTGTCTTAATACTCTTGTCTGATGATATATAATGTAATATTAATATTATTTTTAGGTGAAAATGACAAAGTTTGATGACAAACAAAAGGTGGCACTAATCAAAGAAGTGAAGAGTCTATTAGAAGGATACAACTTGGTACAGGCCAAGAAGTTTGTTGAAAGTGTACCTACTGTTGTAAAAGCAGACATCTCTAAAGACGAAGCAGAGAAACTAAAAGAAGCATTGTCCAAAGTTGGAGCTGTTATAGAAATTGATTAAATTAGATTTACATAGCTTTAGTATAAAATTAGATTTGTTATTATAATTAAATGCTTTAAAATTATTTTGCAATTTCACTATTCAAACATAATGACTACAAAAACCTGTTTTAATATCTTGCTAGGTCACATGAACCTTTATTATCTATCATGTCATCTTTTCTCATCTTTCTACATCTTCAATAAACATATATTATTTTTTTGTTAGCAGAAAGAAATAATTTCTTGATTGAAAGTCTAAGCCTTGTGTATATGATTAAAATCACTTTAAGTTTACACAAAATTAGATTACATTAGTAAGCTATACATAATTCTCTTATACAGGGTGACTGGTGAATTACTATCAATATTTAAGGAGAATACTCGGTACATGATTCTCATTTGAATTATGTAAAAAAAATAGGCACTTAATTTTTGACAAAATTTCCGTATAAATAAGTAAAGTGTTGACACGTTCCAAGTGTTCAAGTGTGGACGCGTGCGGCCGCGTGCTGATACAACACCACGTCACGACACGCGTATGTGTGTCAGTGTATACCTAATCTGTAGGGTGTTCACACGATGCGTAATTAATTACATAACTTTTGGTTAACTTTACTTAGAAGTTTATTAATATTTATGTTATATTAATTTTTATTTTGTCATATATGATCGTCAAATATCACGTCCTCAAATATCGATAGTAATTCACCAGTCACCCTGTATAACAAAAAACTAAACTGTTAAGAGTTGCTGGATGCTAGTCACATAGATGATGGATGGATTCAATAAGAACCAAAATTGTATTTAAGAAAATATAATACAACTATACATATGTAACTTAATGTTATATTTATTAACAGTATGAAACTTTAATAGCAGTCTAGAGTGTTCACCTCCTCAATGAATTCATATATACCCAGAACATCATCTAGTAATGACGAGAGACTTTTGATTCCATCCTTCCAATTTCTCTTGTCCTCAATTATTTGTTTGAAGTCTTTACTCCTAGTATATTTAACAAATAAGTATGGCGATGCTAACTTTACAATTTTTGTGTGACTTGTGTTTTTGATTTCCTGTTCCGATGATAGGTTCATTTGTCTTTTATATATATTTGCGAGTAAGTTAATATCGTCAGAATTCAGAATACTTTCTATAACATTCTCTGATGAGGTTGTGGGTTCAGAGTCCATAATGTCACCATTTTCAATGCATTCATCAGAAATGTTCTGTTGTTGCAACTCATCCATAGTGTTTGATTCCTTGTTACTAGGTGTCAAGGTTTCAGGAACATTGTATTGATCAAGTATACCTAGAAGTTCTGTAGAAATGATCCTCGCGGAATCCATAATTTCGACATCAGTTTCGTCATGAAGTAGTTTCACTAACACAGTTAAACATCCGATCGAAGATAGTTCTTCTAGGGTCACCGTCAAACGCCTTTTGATTTCATTTGCGTCTAGAGTAACAATTTTCCTTGTCTGTCTGGAAAACGTTACAGGGGGAAATGTCCCGTCGAGCATGCCCTGAGCGGTTAACAAAGATTGAATCACTATTTTCCAGAACTTAAGCGCGCTTATCTGAACCTCCCAGTGGAAATCAGATAGAGCTGCGTTCATCATGTTCTCGTAAAGAACGGATTTGAAGCTCGGACTGATTTTGACGCTTTGGTAAATTTCGCATAATACATTGCAGGCCTCTTTACGTACAACGCCCTCTTGGTTGGTGTTCATGATTTCTACTAAAAGTTCCTATAAAAGATAAAAATGCACTTTAAAATAAAATTTCTACAAATCCAAATAACAGAAAGGCCATAGATTTTTTTGCAATATACTTAATTTTCAGGATGTTTTTATTAACAGGGATTCAAAACCGAATTTTGAATAACGCATACGTAACCAATATCTGACGAATTTGGAGTAAAATGTAAATGATGGTATATTAATGACATATTTAACTGGAGTGTCATATCTCAAAATTTATCTTAGGAAAATGAGTCACCTGTATGTTAGGATACTGAGTTTTTAAGTGATCCCACAGTGAGGCGACCTTACAACCAGCTCCAAGACATCTCAGAGCAGAAACACGCACATAGAACTCGTGGTCATTCAGCGCCATGGTTGTTGCCAGATTTATGAGATTATTAGATAAAATTTGTTTTTGGAACGGCGGAAACTCTGAAAACAATATATTAATTATAATATGAAACCTTACTAATATTATAAATGCGAAAGTAACTCTGTCTGTCTGTCTATTACGCTTTCACGCCTAAACCACTGAACTGATTTTAATGAAATTCGGTACAGAGAGGAGTTGACCTTGAGAAAGAACATAGGATAGTTTTTATCCCAGACTTTTGAAAGGTTCTCTTGGAAACGCGATATAACCGAACTCCAAGCGGAAAGCTGGTATTTTATAAACTTATGTATATGTGAATGTATAGTACGTACTAATAAAACATATGTCTGTGCACACATATAGCAATTCCAGAGCCGAATCTCGGACCTCCCACTGGAAATCGTTTAATTTCATATAGATTAGTTCCCCAAGTTCATCCATTGAGGAACCTGGCTTGGACTCCATTAACAGAGACAGGGCTGGCGGTAGAAACTTCTTCACTGTTATTGTGATGACATTTAATGCGATCACTACAAACTGGAAGCAAACAGGATGCAATCAGAAAAAATAATAATATGATAATTTTAAATATTCATATAACACTGACCTTACTAGAGAAATTGTTATTTTTTATCTTCAAAATATTAAATACAACGGTATAAAGACAGATGACTTCAAGGCTCTCCTTCCAGTTGATGTTGTAATTCTTAACTAACGACAGGAGAATGTCCAAAACGTATGTCATAATCTGTACTTTCTCTTCGCTGTCTATATAATTTATATCCGATTTCAATTCACCGTTTTCGTCTATGGGATCGAATTCTTTCAAAACGTAGAATAGAGATTGGAATAGCAAGTTGGCTTGGTCATTATTCAAATGATCTTTCAGGCATGTAAGACGTTTCACACTCTGTAGAGTCACAGATTCCATGTCCATTTGCAGTAAAAGATCTCTCAGAGCGTAACACGTCCTTGCAGTGTGCTCGCAAGTTGAATGCAATAGTTTAATAATGAAATTATCGACTTCGTCCCTGTCGATTGGTATCGTCTTTCCTGCAGATATGTACACCATGGACGGTATAAGACATATGACGAGTAACTGCTTCTGTAATTCCACCTCTCTCCCGTCGATTTCGAAGACCGCCGGTCTCATATTGCCCCAGACGGAACTGAATATTAAATTACAGGCATTACAGTAATCGAACACTAAAGCCCAACAGCGACGCTGCATCAGATAGTTCACTGTGTTGAAATAAGTTATCGTGATCTCCACGAAATCGTCTCGTTCGAACTTCTCCGATAATTGTAAAGGTTTAAATATAAAAGTTTTACCAATCGAAAGCCAAAACAATAATTTCGTCACAAGTAGAAGAACATCCTCCCTTCTTATCCTAGTCTTTATCAAATAACAAAACGTTACCATGTTGAACTCTTTGATCATCGACGTTATCATAGCATTCCGGGTTTTAATGCGCTCTGCATTACCAACCACCGACAACAATATTTGTAGCATCGGCACATACACTTTACACAACTCATCTTCATATTCACTTGACATGGAATCTATATTGATCATATCAATTTCTGATATAGGCTTAAGAATAAAATTTAAAACTGTTTTAATGCTAGCTTCCTCATTTATATCAACCAATTTCCACAAAAACAATGAAGCAAATTTGTATGTCTGACGAACAACAAACACTGTCCGTTTTTCATTACAGAGCTGTAGAATTTCTTTCCAAATGCCAGTTTCTAATAGCCAATATATACCAGAATTATGTTTGGTTAATGACAAAGCTACTTCCATATAAGCAACTCGTAGACTGGAATCCATGCTTTGGGAATTAATTTCATTAAATGCTTTGGCAATTTCCTCACCCTTCTTTGCGAAAATTTTAGCAAAATGTACTTCACATTGCGCAACAACTCCTAATAGACGTATTATAAATACTCTAACTGTCTTGTGCACATTCTCGACGTTGTTAAGAGCTTCAACTAATAAATCTGCAACTACCGGCCATGATTTTAAGCACTCCACATCTGAAAATAAGATATGTATAAATAAAGTAAGATAAAATCTTTTAAGGATATATTCTGTGAGGATGACGAATATAGATACTGAAAAAAAATTGTGAATTAAAAAACTTGTACATTTCAAATTATATGCTAAAAAAGTTTGTAAAACATACAACTATGTTAGTGGGTCTATGTAAAATCTTTACATAAAGGTGACTTGTAGTCACTAAACAAAAAAATTTGATAGTGACAACAACAAAAAATTTCTTTAGAATTTATATATTTATTTTCCTAGACAGTTGAGATTTTTATTATCTTTATTACATGATTTTTTTTACTAATAGTATTTGCATATTGATAGCTATTATATTTATAACTTATAGCTATTCCAGCCTTTTTTGTACAAAAAAAGTGTAATTAACAATAACTGGAAGAGTATAAATATCACATTAAAAAAGGCTTTAATAGTCTTGTTGATTCATGTACAAGTTGTATTGAATAGAAAAATAATGTTAAATTTTGTGCATAATCCAACACATTCAATAATTAACTCAGTATTTATAGATTTTGCATATATAATTATTTATCATGATAGCTTTATCAGTATGTTTAACACTTAAACAACTTCATAATTATTACATAGCTGTCTGCAGCTTTTAAATAATAAACAAAAAATGTTATACGGATTACATTTTACAATATTGCTCGAAAGTTTATAGTGGACATTTTGAATGTAAAATATATAGTAACTTTTAACACAGTAATTACATTAAATTTTAACACAGTAATAACAATATAATAAAATAGCAAAATAACCTATAAATAACGTTAACTGATAAAACAGTAATCCGTTATTTTTTTTTAATAATTTTAGTACCAGATTTTCACTTACCTGGATCGTCACTATTTATTTTAATAAAGAAATGGTCCGCATAATAACTATTCATAACATAATTTGGTTCAGATATTTTTTTAAATAAAAGTTTTACTTTATTTTGTATCAGCGAGGTATCCATGATGCGTTTCTTACTATTGGTAAAAAATTAATATAATAATATATTTGAACAATATATACAGAGGGGGAAGTTGAAATTAATAAAGTTTCGATATAAATAATAACTTTGCATCATGCAAGTAGAAATATCACTATCAGTAATGACAGTTTTAATTTGACATTTAAGTTAAAAACAAATAGTAAACTTCATAAACTCTAAAATTCATATATGTCATTTTATTCTCTTTTACATTGATAAATATGTATTTCAACAAAAGATATATCTTTTTATTAAATTAACAATTTTTGAAAAACGTATTAGTAACATTTGTGTTATACTAAACTAATGGTTGTACCTAGCCGTGAAGAGTACAAAATAATTTTTTTTCGTCTTTTACAAACTGAACTTTATTTAAAACAAATCATTAAAATTATTTTGGAAAATATTTTTTAGATACCAACATTATAGACTTAATCTGTTACGTGTAATGGAACATGTGCATGATTGTTCTAGAAAAGAGAACTTCATGTCAAAATTTCTGCCCAACACGGCGAGTTAGACCGATGGACATTATTTATAAATGGTGCTGGAGTGCTGAAGTGATATTAGTGGATTATATTTTAATTTACACATTGGTGTTCTAGTAGTGTTTTTAATCGTGAAGTGTGTGAAATGCCCCTACGACGAAGTTTTGTGAGTACTATCAATGTTATCTGATATTTATTATTAATTTACTGCGCTTTGAACATGATTTATTCAAGCATGTTTTAACACCTTCTTGTGCAGGTATTATGCAATAACTTTTGGCCTTCATCCCATATTTATTTACTAATCCCGCGCATCAGTGTCTTTTTACACCATTTTTGCACCGATGATTTTTAATTTTACGCGCTTTATCGCTTAGTGCAATTGGCTGTGGTCCAAGTATAGTATTCTTGACTACAATAAATAATAATGCTGGGAAAATAATACCAATAAACTAATGTGGGAATTTTTGATGGTATTGCAACAATATGGTTTTTCACAGGAGAGTTGATGCCCGCGAATAACACAAGTCGATCCTGAGTGCCTTCTAACTGCCTGCTTGTGAGGTTAGTTTGTAAAATTATTACTATTATATGAATGCCAAATATAGTTCTTTACTATGACAAGTACTTATTTATGTTATATTTGAATTCCCAGAAGATGTGGAGTATTTCTTTGTGACTTAAGTTATATGATTAACATTTAATGTATATTTATTTTATAATCTCCTAAGACAAAAATGGTTTGTTATTTAATATAAAGTCATATAGGTAATGTGATGTTTCATAAGATAAGTATCTCTCTGAAATTGTGAGAATATTTTTTATTCTTCCACAAAAAAACTACTGTTTATTTATTATCTACATACTGACAACTTTATTCCACTGAATATCTTTTTTTTTCTAAAATAAACTGGTGTTATAACATTTAAAATGCTAAGTTAAATTTCATAGAAAGAAAATTCAAAAAAATTTTTCCTATTAGTAGTCCTTATTGAAGCCAATTTTAACTTAATACAATACATTCCTTGAAAAAGAAAATTTGAATTCATCTCTGTGTATCCGTCAGTGACACAAAAATGTGTATTATGCGTTCTTATGTACACTTATTATGATTAAACATTGTAATAATGCGACCTTGGTTAACGTTTTTCTAAGAAATATTGTACAAAAGTGATTGTGTCATATAGATTCCAGAACATATTGTTTGTTAATGTACAATCATCAAGTAGTGATGACAAACATTACACAGATTGTTAGATTTGACCGAAGATGTCTCAGATCAAGCATTATATATTTTAATGTGATTTATGATTAATGAAGAATAAGTTTTGATGTTCTATTCATAATGAAGAACACTTGATATATATATTAAAATGTTGAGGAAGTATGTACTACCTATTATATAAATTATACTTTTTTTTTCCTGTCCTAATTCCACTTTATGTAGGGTCGACACAACATGTTGTTGTCTTCCAGAGAACATATTGTAAATAGTTTTGAATAATTGTTTTTTACGACCGGCCACCTGCCTGACATCAACCCTCTTTGGGAATGCATTAACTGCTTATATATAATAATATTAAGTTGTAAGACTTGTCATAACTTTGATTGTACTGTGATATGCACTCATAATTTGTATTGTTTGTATATGATTGTTATAATTTATCCTAATTATATAATTATCACATGTAAATTGAAAAATTCCTTCACAATTATAGAGATCCTATGTAGTTTTAGTTACACATGAGTTCTATAAATTTTGTTTAATTAATCTCAAAATACTGGCAAAAAATAACTGACACATTAATACCAAAAAAAAAGTACATATTTTGGATATCACTAAATATGATTAGGGCATGGTAATATTTACTATATATATACATTGTTTTTCATTCACATTACTTTGTTAAAAAAAAGTGATACACCTTATTATCTTATATCCTTGCTTCGTAGTGCATCCGTCTTTTCTTATTTATCTCTACTCCATATACAGGGTGACTGGTGAATTACTATCAATATTTAAGGAGAATACTCGGTACATGATTCTCATTCGAATTATGTAAAAAAAATAGGTACTTAATTTTTGACAAAATTTCCGTATAAATAAGTAAAGTGTTGACACGTTCCAAGTGTTCAAGCGTGGACGCGTGCGGCGGCGTGCTGATACAACACTACGTCACGACACGCGTATGTGTGAGTGTCAGTGTATACCTAATCTGTAGTGTGTTCACACGATGCGTAATTAATTACATAACTTTTGGTTAACTTTACTTAGAAGTTTATTAATATTTATGTTATATTAATTTTTATTTCGTCATATATGATCGTCAAATATCACGTCCTCAAATATCGATAGTAATTCACCAGTCACCCTGTATAATTACTACATTCGAGGATGTTTTACTGAAGCATTGTGATATATATATCATGAGTGACATGCGTCGCTTCCATTGTACTCGAGACTTATTTGTCGCCTTGGAATTTTTCCCGAGCTGCATTTTTTAAATATTTTATAATTGCATATTTGTCATCTTTCAAATTAATTACCTGTATAATCATCGGAGATACTAAAACGATAATTTAGAATTAAAATCAAATATATTTAAAATTATATATAACTATGTATTAAATTCAAGAATTCATATTTAATGATCCGGTAATTTTCTTTAACAACTTTTATCGCGTTAGCCAACGTATATGTAAGTTAAAACGAGGAAGTACATAGAACTAACTCCGATTTTCTATCTAGCTTAAATTATAAAAAAGTTGTGAAAATATATCGAAACGAAAAAGTTTAAAATGTGTATTCACATCTAGTATGCCAGTAATATAGACTAGCCCGTATTTTCTATTACCTATTCATGCTTTGATTCCGTTTTACGCATAATTACGTTTTTCAGTAACATATTCTCTTAAATGAAACTAATATTTTTCGGATTATACTGAGCGTATTTTTATTATTGTAAATTTTAATACTCCCGACGTTTCAGTACAAAAACATATCCTCATTGAGATATTATTAAATCTGTATAATAAAAAAAAATATATTCGGAATAAAGTAAATCGTTTGAGGATATCTCAACTCCATAGACATAGTCTATTCATAGTAAGAAGTTATTAATGAGTTTTAATGTAAGAATAATTTACATAGATACATATTATAGAAAGTAAAGGTCAATGGACACACAATTTTTTATATGTATAATGTTTTAGAGATGGGTATAAGGCACGAATAATTTTTAGTAATTTAATCATACTAAACTGTTATAAACATGGACACCAATAATATGTATAAAAAAACGTTGCTCAGAACTTTAATTGTTCTCTTTTTAAATGTTAGATCAAGTACATATTGCTTTCCATTTTATTCAACCTTTTTTTTAAATAAATAGTATAAAATTCCTATATAATCTTAGTTACCGACCACAGCGGGTAATTATAGTCATTAACGAAAGTATACTATAAACTGAACATACTGTATATATATGTATATAAATATATGTCGTCACATTCGTGATTTCACATAACACGGCCACGTGACCCACGCCTTCGACAGCCGGCACGTGTTGAAAACAAACTTTATATAAATAAATCAATCATATGTACTATATTCCCATACTAGATTTTATATATACTAGCTTTCCGCCCGCAGCTTTGCCCGCGAGGAGTTCGGTTATATCGCGTTTCTAAGATAACTTTTCAAAGGTCTGGGATAAAAACTATCCTATGTTCTTTGTCAAGGTCAACTGTATCTCTGCACCAAATTTCATTAAAATCAGTTCAGTAGTTTAGGCCTGAAAGAGTAACAGACAGACAGAGTTACTTTCGCATTTATAATATTAGTAGGGATATATATGTGTGTGTGTATATGTATATATTCTTCATATAATTATTAACTTCATGACTATAGTGTAATCGATTTTAAACGGTTCACCTCTGTTGGCATGATATTTTCAATGCCTTAGTAATTAAACGGTCATGCCGGTTGTGTAGTGCCAGGAGTGTACTCGTTACTGGAAAATCATATCACAATAATATATTATTATGAAGTGTTCATTAGAATTGTGTTTTAATATGATGGCTTTTTGTTGAAACGTCTAAGCTGATAATGGATTGTGAATATAACGTGTATTTACTGAAATTTAATTAATATATGGATACTAGCTGACCCAGCAAACGTTGTTTTGTCATACATATAAAAAATAGGTGTTGGTGATAAAAAAGTAAAAATTTTGGGTTGTATGTTTTTTAAGTCTACATTATAAAAAAAATTAAAACAAAAAATTCCGTCCGAAAATAAAAGAAAAATTAAGGATGAACAACGCTTAAGACTTGGGAGTATGAAAAATAGATTTTGGCCGATTTTCAGACCTACTCAATATGCTCACAAAATTTCATCAAAATCGGTCTAGACGTTTCCGAGGAGTTCTCTGTCTAACACCGCGACACGAGAATCATATATATAAGACTAGCTTTTGCCGCGGCTTCGTCCGC